CAGAGTTCTCATGCCCGGCCTGGTTCATCTGGTAGCCTATTAGGTGGGAGGTCGGGCCTCTACCGAGCTGTCTTTGGGGAGGCGGGAGGCCTCTATTTGCCCTGTTCCTATGCTCAATCAATTCTTCATTGATGATCTCCCTTCTCATCATTTCGAGTAGGGCGTCATAAGTGGTGGGGTCTTGATTCTGCACATCTCTCCAGAATAAAGTATTCATGTTCAGACCTCCCCTTAGGGCGGATAGTGCCTCTCGGTCGCTGACTTGTACGCAGTACGTCATCTCATCGGTGAAGCGTGATAAGAAGCTCTTTAGGACTCCCCATGTGCTTGCCTCATGTCCTGGAGACGTTGGATGGGGGCTTCTCATTCTTTGCTCACTGTAAACCTCTTCAAGAATGTTATCTTGAACTTTGGCCAGCTTCTAATGCTCCCAGGTGACAATCTGCTATACCAAATTTCAGCCGCTCTACTAAGCGTTAAATGGAAGGCTCTGTACTTCAAGGCTGGGGTGGCACCCCTTAGGCTCATGTGAGTTTTATAAGCATTCAGATGCTTCTCCGGGTCGCCTCTTCCGTCATACTTTGGTATTTTTGGCATAGCATAGTGGCTCGGGACCTGGGCATTCCTTAGTTCCCTTGAGAATGGTAGGTTCTCATCGTCATCGTCAAAGTCGCAGGACCTCTGTTGTTCATCAGAGTCGTACTCATCAGTCTCATGCCTCGGTTGTTGGTGAGAGGTCCCAGGGATATCCCTAGCCTCTTCCTTCCTCCCCTGCCGCCTATTTCTAGGTGGAACAACATGGGGGCATTTTCTTGCCTTCTTTCCGCCTACTGGGGTATTGTAGGTGGAGGAGGAGACCTTGTCTAAGGCTATTGAGCCTACTGTTGCCTTAGCCTGGGTTCGGCGGGGCTGATTCTGTCAAAAACACTTACTGTCCTCCTATGTCTTGGATCTTGCTCATATGGAGGTGGGAAATTATCACGGCTCATTTGGACTTTGGTGGGTCAGCCAGAAGTGTAGTTGGAGGAAATATCAACTTCCACTTCCCTTTCAAATGGGTTTCCACCTCGGCCATAGTCTGGCGTAGAAGCTCTATGACTTTGGACTTCATCCTCTTGCTGGTAGTGCCCTTGGGGGGCATATGGAGGAATGGGGAAGCCTTCCTGGCCCTACATTTGGGCCATAAGCTCCCTCATAGCCAAATTTTGGCTAGCAATATCCCTCATGTTGGCTGCCATGGCGATCATTTCTCTTGATAATCGTGCCGTCACACGCATCCCATCTCTTCTTTGGTGGTGGTGGAGTCTTTGCCGAGCTGCTGGGGCAGCGAGCTAAAGAGGCACGTTCGTGTTTTCTTTTACCCTCCTGGGGGGAGTATCTTTATTGGAGCTCATTTTCTTTTGTCAGATTTCAGATTTCGCTAAGTAATGGGGTTTCCTCCTATTCTTTTCCAAAAACAAATCTTTTTTCAAGGGGGTTGCCCAAATGTCCCTTCAGTAAGCTTTTGTCACAAGGTTGCTCGTGGTGATGGTATGGTTTCCCACAGACGGCGCCAATCTGTTGACCCCAAGAAGTGTTGCCAACAGATGCCGGTCCCACCCGCGCACACGTGGGCGAATGTCCAACACGCTATGACATATGGACGGTCTAAAACGAGCGGTTCAAAGGGCGTGGGAGTAGCCCAACGACACGGGACGGTGACGTTCTGAATCCGACGAGTTGTTCGTGATCCGATTGTACAATAATTACCAACCGGTGTTCGTCGATGTATATGTAACTGTGTATAAACTCGATTTGTATATTACAAGTAAATGAGAGAGAGTTGAGTAAAATGTAGTTCTTTGTATTGATTTTTACATTAGCCTTTTGATGTTATACAAGGGAAGTATTTATAGTGATACATGTGAAATGGGAGCCCTTGGATGAGGTGGCACGTGGCCTCATCTCTTTGATTCTAACATCTTATTCTAGGTATGGGGCTTGACTTGTTAGCTTGTTGCGCATTTATTGCTTGTGCAGAGTCTTCATACTAGTGACAAGACTTGACATTTATGTTTATGACAAACGTTCCATCAATCATGCGAATAAGATCTGTGTAGGCGATCTCTTGGGAGAAGTGACCATGGAGGATGCCCCCTTGTGGTTCGAAGGCTCCTGCATCGGTTTCGGGGCTTTGGCCATTTCATACAATACTTCCACTTGATGGCTTCAGCAATCTTCAACCAGTTTCAACATCATGGCTTCGGGTCATAGGCCTCGGCATGTGGACCTTGAGTACATTCACAGGCCTCGGTAAAAGGGAGCCTCGGCTATAGTCCACCTCGGCGATCTATGCCACCTCAACTGGAGGGCCACGTGGTTCGCCCTGAGTGGGCCATTGGCCCAGGTAGGTTGGCCAAGTATGACAACACGCAACAAGTTACACTATGAAATTATAAGTTTTCATTTTGGAATTAAACCTAGAAATTAAAAGGAAAACTGAAAATTAATGGGTGTTAGTTTTGAAAGGTTGAAACTTATATTACGTTACAACAATTAGTTGGTCCAGTTTTCTTGAGTTGAATTATGCTTTTCAAGTAAATATAATAATTGGGTTTTCTTCGTTGATTTCTGATATAAGTACTGGTAAGTAGGATTAATACTGGCAATGGAAGAGTTTTTCTGGAACAAGTTACGTATTTCTGTGGTTTTTTGCTTTTAGGCATAGAGATTGAATCTTTGTCGATTTTAAAAGGAAAAGGGGGGCAGCTATCAGCATTATTTTGAATGATCAATGTTGTCACCTCTGTTTATCCTTGTATGTGTGCACCATTCTGTGATAGCCTTAACTTGTGGAGCTTTCGTGATGTTTTATAGTAATTAGGAGTTTGTGCTTAGCCATTGTAAAGACCACTCCAGTAAGCTTCTGGTATCAACACGAGGGCTGCAAAAAAAAAAATCACGAAATACAAATCGAATCAAAATCGTTAAGTTGAAACCGTTGATTTGGGTCCACGTGGACCTGTGGTTTCTTTTCTCTCAAATCGAACCAAACCATTTCAAAATGGTTTGGTTTATGTTTTGATTTTCAGAAACCACACAAAACAATTCAACACCTCGTGATGAGCTTCTAATTAGGGCATCGGACTCGTTTTCGGGCTTGCTTTTGTTTGCCATTGGGCTTCTCTTGTTCATGGTGGCATTTGTGAAGGACAGAGAATTCCATAGCATCTTTGCCGGGGGCTGTGTGATTCTCCATGTATCAATGGCTATTTTAAGAATTTATTTCGAAAGGAAGGTTGAGGATCTCGGTTGGGATTGGCCAAGGATAGTTGTTGGAGACATTGTACTTGTGCTTTCATGGGTTTTATTTCTTGTGTATTCATGGAGGGAGAAGTATGACTAGCATTAGTTTGGAACCTGTGACGTTGATGAACATGCTTTGTGGAACTGTGAATTGAAAGAACATAAATTCGAATTCATGTTATTCAAATATGTTAAGTAGATTTGGTGATTGGAACTTGGAAAAACTAGGATTTTATTAAAAACTTGACTTAGTGCACTGGGATTTTAAGATCAGTTCAGCAATAGCTGCAAAAATTTAGTTAGATTATAAAAAGTTTTCTTAATCTGTTTTGTTCTTTGTTATGTACTCGTTACTTTTGTATATGTTAAAATTTGCTGTAAATTTTCTCAGAAGTGAATGAAATATGTGAGCTCTTGGTTTTCACTCTTGATCTTGCGTTTGTTTCTTCATATGCTTCGAGCATCTTTGGCTTTGCTTAAAAGCCAAACGAAGCAGAGTGAAAGGTCACACTGCGGTGTAAAAATGAAGACGAAAATGAGCTGCTGCTTGTGTCTTTTAAGCAAAGCCAAACATGCTTGATCTTCTGCCAATTTGTGCATTTTGCTAATGATGAAATAGAGATTGATATGCTTGTCAACTAGTCTGGTACAGATGATGAATGAACACTTCTATCACAAATTCCTGAGGATTTTTTCTATTTAATGTGAAACATGCCCTTCTTATGCCAGTTCTCATCCAGTCTGTTTAGATAATCCTCAGAACAGATCTTTTCATTTCTTATTGAATGTTGACAACAAATTTACGCACAGCGAGAAAAACTTTTCTTCATCATCGACTTCCATACACTTATCTGTCAAAATGGTTACGGATGAATTTCAATTCAAAAAACATTTTAACCAAATTTCTTGTGATTGAGCCGTGATCTTCACTCCAATACAGATACCAGTGTTTCTGCTTTTAGCATCTTTCTATCTAGATTTTTGCCCTTTACTGCACGATGAAGACCTTACAATTTACACGTACCTTTAAATCTTGTACATTCTTGCAACCTTCATTATTTGATAGGTACTTGTTTATGTTAAGATCGAAAGACAGACACTTGTTAGGCTGGATAATCCACATGACCAACATATTCTCCCACCCTTTTTTTTTTATTATTTTTGTCCAATAAAGTTGGAATGCATTTTAATTCATTGAAATCACATAAAAACTAATGGCGATAAAAAACATTATTCTTTCCTATCTTGAACCAAGAATAAACCCTCAAAGAGAATGAAGGCACGGGGGAGATTCCAATGCCCCTATAGGCCTATACCAAGATTGAGTTATTTATTTTGGTCAATTTCTCCTTCTTACCAATTTATATATATGCTCGTCCCTATTATGAGATGCAATAAAGATGGCTAGAGGACGAGACGTAATCTAGAATCAAAATACTTAGGAGGTGGAGTGAAAGTTAGAATGTTTCGTTTAATTCATTAATTATCAATTACAAAGGACTAACATAAAATAATAATAATAGTAATTCGGGATAGATTCAAGGAGTTTGATGTGAGAATTATGTGCCCGATTTTGGACGATACTGGGAGGGGGATTTCTGGCATGATGTAGTACCACAAAAATGTAGATTAAATTTTGAACACTCGTTATACTTCCTGTTTTAAACAAATGTGAAAAATTCAAAATTGAAATTTGGAAAAGTGAAATGTGGGATCTAAAGAAACGAATCCCTCTAGAAGCGTTTGTTAACATGCCACGCTTTTAGAATTAGAAACACAAAGGAAACGGAGTAAATTGTAGCGTAGGCCTAACGTCTTCGACTTGGAGACAGCTACAATTTTCATTTTTCCCTTTAAACCCAGATTTACAAAATTCTGAATCAAAACCATTTTCTAAATTCCAGCCCTCTTTTATTCAGTGAAGAAGAAGAAAAAGGTACCATTTTTTGCTTGTGTGTTGCGTGTATTTGCTGTGTATG